GAAGTCCAGCTTTTTTTCTCATCATTTCTTCAAATTATCCTTCAATGTGTTGCATGAACTGAAGTTTAAAATATAAACTTTTTTGGAAAAGTCCAAAAAACAGGGGCGGAGCTAGACTCTCAGCACAGTGGGGCGGGGCTTCATCACGGGCCCCACCTGCTACCAAGTTTACATGACCTCGGACTCACTCCGAAAGTCCACTGACTCTGTCTTTTTCGCTGCTGCCACAGCTGATCGCAGCCATCGCTCTACTAAATGTTTGTTCTCACACCAGAAGCGTCAAGCGGCACAGAGCAGATGAACCACGCAGGAAGTCAGACATAGAAACAGCCGAGAATTCGGTCAATTTTCAAAATAAAATAGCCGGTACAGACTTCCAATCGTATATCAACAATATACAGAGTTAAATCACTGCCGAAACGCCTCTGAGAGGCTTCAAGTGGAAGTTGACACCGTAAATAAACCGCTGCTCACACGCAGTCTACTCCGTCCCTCAGAATTCCCATGATGCATGAGGGGGAAGGGAGTTTTGTTAAAATGTGTTTATAAGTTTGCCATTTGTTTGAAATACAAATGTTACTTTATGATTTATGTTTAGAATCTAGTGTTTTTTGTTGTCATCCTTGTGGTGGTTTACCATTGAAACCAGGAGTGAAGAGACTGTTTCATTTGATAAGAGCTGCTGAAGATGTCGTTCGTCGGGCCCCTGGGTCGGCCGCCCCCATGCACCCACGCTTTCTCCGCTTATGCCGAAAACAAAAATACGTACTTCCAGTTTTTTGTGCTTTTCGGTTTCAAAGGCGAGAAAAACTCGTCCGCCTCTGCTACGTTAAACATTTTTGCATCTGGCCGCATCGGGTCAGTGGGTTTGAAACTTACTGGCCCCAAGTCAATTTATACTGCCTATACCTGGTCTCTGTTCCTCTAAATGGGACCATAATTTACTAAATGAACATCACGCTGTGTTGAAGAAGACTTGAAACTAGCGACTGAGACCATAAACTCATCAGGAAAGTGTTTACTGAAACATTTGACCATAATTTCTGATGGAGCCGGACTTCTTTTTGCAACCAGCAGACTCGCTGGTTTATTAAAACAACAAACAATGAAATAATAATAATAATTAGAAATGTTATACAACAGTTATTTAATATATTTACAGGTCTAGTCTGAGTTTCCACTGGTTGTCCTCTGGCATGAGGAGATATATTTTTGATTTGGCATTCTGGCATTTCTCCCAGTAAATAGGAGTTTCTGTGTCTCATGTAAATTTGAATTCGGGGTATATTTGGGGAATGTTTGCGTAGTGTTTTTCTCTCAATGTTTATATTTAGGGCTTGAGGTTAGAAAGTGCAGCTCTGTCTCTACCTGTCTAACTCTGTCTCCTGTTTGCTGCTGATCAGGTTGGATACGGGGAGTTTTTACAGCTGCTTCTCTGAAAACGCTGAAAGTCACTCTACTTGTGTACTTACTACAGAGGAGCCCCTCCCTGCAGATCCTTTTAACCTCATTGTTGCAGAAGAAGCGACACGAGTAAAATTTACTCTTTAAGAAAGTATTCGTTCACTGTGGTATTGGATTCGATCCTTTGGACGACTCTTTTGGCAAACGGCACAATCTCAGCAATGTTCCTGTTTCAGCCGCACGCTGCCCTGCTTGCATAATAATGTATGACACACTTTAGCAACTTTGCGGCGTCCGGTCATTATTTTGTCCCCTGCAATCATGTTATTTTTTTGGCCCGCAGTTCGCCGCCCTCGCATCCTCATCAGCCCAGAAATATTCAAATGAATGAGCGGGGCTGCGGGCCGCCGTGTGAGGCTGAGGTGAGGAGACAGCTTAGAGTCTGGCAGAGTCGCAACGTGTTAGGAGGCCAACAGACTCCTGACCCCGTTACTGAAGGACCCCTGGTCAACAAGAACCGCTAATAGGCCCAAGTTCCCTTTTTTCCAGACCAGCACTCATTGATCACAGGGTTTGTTTAAAATCAAATGAGGGGAACATTTTCCCACTGAGGGAAGCTCGCAGCTTTCCGAGGAGTTTAGTCCGTTAACGAGGCGGATGTTCGTGGGCGTTGTTCCAATTGCGATGAATGTACAGTAGATGCAGACTGTGGAGGTGCCAAACATTACCCGAAGCTCACTGAAAACCACTTGAACTTCTGCTCCGTCTCCAGAAGAAATGAAAGCTGCCCTGTGGAACGGTTCTGTTTGACAGTCAGTTTCTCACCAGAACTCGATTTCAGCCTCACAAATATGTGCGGGTCTGTTTTTCCTTGTTTGGGCCTTGTAGTTCACATGAAGGGAAATGTTAATGCTACATCAGACAACAGTGTGCTTCCAGCCTTTCCTGTTTCAACACGACATGCCACTTTGCACAAAGCATGTCTGTAAAGAAAAGGTTTTCCAGTTTGCTGTTGAAGAACTTGAGTTCAACACCATCCGGCACCTTTGGGATGAACTGGAACACTGACTGTGAACCAGACCTGACCGCCAACATCAGCGTTGGACCTCACTAAAGCCTCATTTCCACTGCATGGTACTTTTCTCGATTTCGTTTTCCACCGCTGAGAGTACCTCCTTCACTGATCATCGTAGCAACGCCCCGTGAAACTGCTGTGAACTCATCTTCAGCAGTGGAGGGATGATTCTTGGTCTGTCACAGCAAGGAGACAAACTAAAGGGACATTAAAAAAGTTTGACTCGCTACAGCAAACTTTAGAAATGTTGAACTTGTTGTTCTTCAGGAATGGTTATGATTATTGATTAAGTTTGTCCTTAACATTAACAAATCAGAGACTAACCACCACGTAGAGCATTTTATTTCTTGCAGTTGTTTTAACGCAGTTCTGTTTTCAGTCTAAATGGGAGCAACAGCCTGGTTCCTACATGTGGTGGAAAGCCTGAAACCAGATAGGTGGAGGCTGTTGTAGCAGCACTAGGGTTGGGTATCACTTAAAATTTTATGATACCAATACCAAACCAGTACCAATAGAGTACTTCATTCGATACCTTGCATAAAATGCCACCTGTTGAAGCCGTAGTAGTTGATTGGTAGCCTATTATTATGTTTATTGTTGTTACGGACAAGCAAGGTTATCATTTTATTTTGTTTTGTTTCAAATAACTGTGGGAAATTGTATCTGATAGCTCTTCATCCTAATTAGGTCATCCTCACGGGTTCCTTTTAGGAAGACATCAAACTTTTAGCCATGTGTTGTGTTTCTAACTCTTGTTTAACAAGTGTTATACAGTTTCAGTTCGGGTAACGCAGGCCCTGACGGTGTTGGAGCCCTAAGCGAGATTTGAGCATTAAAGACTTCATTCCTTCTTTCTGGTGAAAATTTCTGCACCAATTTAAGGTGGAAATGTCTTTATCCATATAAAGGAAAACACATATTCAGGCGGTAGGTGACAATTCAAATATTAATAATTAATAGAATATAATGCAGTCAGGCTTTCAGGCTTTCTGTAGATATTCTTTAGATCAACTTTTCTAATTTAAAAAATCCCTGATGAGTCAGCACACATGCTCGGCCTTCCCTCCTCTTTTGTTTGGGGAGGTCACCTCTTAAAATACGTGACACTTTTTCACCTCAATGATAAATTAATTCATTTTATTTAACTTATATCTCCTGTAGCTCCTGTGTTTCAGCAGGTTTTCTCCTCATGTTCAAAACTTTCTGTCTCTCTCCCATATCTGTGTTCTGACATGTCCAGAAAAAGTTATCGCAGTATTACGCGACTATAACTCATCATTTAATGAGAATTCATAACATTTTTTAAGTCCACCTGCCCTTTCCTCTGTGCATGACGCTACTGATCCGCTGGGAGGAACGTTATCCCCTTCAGACGTTTGACCGACGCAGTTTGGGAAATTTTTGCCCTGGGGTGACGGGGCTTTCCCCGTGCCACTCTGAGTACAAACATGCATTTTTGCTCCACTGGTGGTAAAGTTTTCTCTCAGTTGTTCACACGAGCTTTACAGCCTCATGGAGCCTCATGTCGAAAACTACTATTTGAATGAATCCTTTAATTGTTGAGCTAACAAGTAACTCGTATTTCCCTCAACACACACACACACACACACACCACACACACATAATCATTCATCCTAAAACCTGTTTTAAGTGCCTC